ATGATGATGATGATGATGATGATGATGATGACGACGACGATGATGATGATGATGATGATGATGATGATGATGATGATGATGATGATGATGATGATGATGATGAGGATGATGATGAGGATGCTGATGAGGATGATGCGGGGGATGATGATGAGGATGAGGATGAGGATGATGATGATGATGATGATTGATGATGATGACGATGATGATGATGAGGATGATGATGCATGATGAGATGATGCTGATGATGATGATGTTGATGATGGATGGTGGTCGGTGGTGGATGGATGATGATGATGAGAGGAGGAGGAGGAAGGAGGAGGAGGAGGGGGAGGGAGGATGAGAAGAGGAAGATGCAGGAGGACGAGGAGACGGAGGAGGATGGCGGAGGAGGAGGGAGGAGGCGGAGGAGGAGGAGGAGGGGGGAGAAACGTGAGGGAGAGAGGAAGAAGTTGAGGAGGGAGGCGAGAAGGATGGAGGAGGAGGATGATGAGGAGGAGGAGGAGGAGGAGGAGGAGGAGGAGGAGGAGAAGAGGAGGAGGAGGAGAGGAGAGGAGGAGGAGGAGGAGGAGGAGGAGGAGGAGGTGGAAGAGGAGGATGAGGAGGTGGATCAGAAGGAGGAGGATGAGGAGGATGATAATGAGGAGGAGGAGGAGGCGGAGTAGGAGAATGAGGAGGAGAATGATGAGGAGGAGGATGAATGAAGGACGGGACAAGGAAGAGGAGGAAGATGATGAAGAGGAGGAGGAGGAGGCGGTGGAGTAGGATGTGGAGGAGGAGGAGGAGGGAGACGATGATGAGGAGGCGGAGGAGGAGGAGGAATAATCACTGGAGGGGAAGGAGGATGAGGAGGAGGAGGAAGAGGCGGATGAGGAGGAGGTGGAGGAGGAGGAAGCTGAGAGTGATGGAGAGAGAGATAGAGAGAGAGAGAGAGAGAGAGAGAGAGCGAGAGAGAGCGAGAGCGTGACAGAGAGAGAGAGCGAGAGAGAGAGAGAGAGAGAGATAGAGAGAGCGAGAGAGAGATAACCAGAGATAGAGAGAGGGAACGAGTGGGGGAGAGAGAGGGAGGTATGGAGGGCAGGTAGGTAGGGCTGATGAGGAGGAGGTGGAGGCGGAGGAGGAAACGGAGGCGGAGGAGGATGATGGTGTGGAGGAGGAGGGGGAGGCGGATGATGAGGGGGATGAGGAGAAGGACGAGGCGGGAGAGGAGGAGGATGCGGAGGAGGAGGAGGATTCGGAGGAGAGATGATGATGATGATGATGATGCTGATGATGATGATGATGATGATGATGACGATGCTGATTATGAGGATGATGCTGAGTATGATGATGATGCTGATGATGATGATGCTGATGATGATGATTATGACGATGCTGATTATGATGATGATGCTGATGCCGATGATGATCATGCTGATGATGATGACGACGGTGGTGATGATGCTAATGACGATGATGATGATTCTACTGATGATGATGATGGTGATGATGATGATGATGATGTTTTTGATGCTTATGCTGATGACGATGCTGATGCTGATGCTGATGCTGATGCTGATGTTGATGATGCTGATGTTGCAGATGATGGTGATGACGGTGATGATAATTATGCTGACGATGATGATGCTGCCAACGATGATGCTGATTATGATGATGATGCTGAGCATGCTGACGATGCTGAGTCTGATGAAGACGATTATGATTGTGTTGGGGAGGATGATGATGCTTGTGATGCTGATGATTATACTGGTCATGCTGATGCTGATGGTGATGCTGATGATGACGATGCTGATGATGATGTTGACGATGCTGATGATGACGATGATCATGATGATGGTGGTGGTAATGATACTGATGATGCTGATGCTGATGATGCGGATGATTATGCTGATCATGCTGATGTTGATGCTGATGATAATGGTGATGCTGATGATGGTGGTGATGATTCTGACAATGCTGATGATGATGATGCTGGTGATGATGCTGATGATGGCTATGATGATGCTGACGATGATGGAAAGATGGGGTTGACGATGGTGATGATGCTGCTGATGATGATACTAAACATGATCATGCTGCCGTTGATGATGATGACGATGCTGATGCTGATGATGACGATGATGATGATGATGATGATGATGATGATGATGATGATGATGATGATGATGAGGATGAGGATGAGTATGAGGATGAGGATGAGGATGAGGAGGAGGAGGAGAAGGAGGAGCAGGAGGAGATAGGAGAGAGGAGAGAGGAGAGAGGATGGATCGAGGGAGGCAGGGAGGGACGGAGGGTGGGAGGAGGAGGAATATGAGGAAGAAGAGAAAGAAGAGGAAGCAAAGGAATAACAGGAAGAGAGGAAGAGGAAGAGGAATGATATTTATAGTAAGAATAATACCAGTCACAAGCATAGTACTATTAATCATAATGCTAACAATCGTACTACTAAGAAGCTTATTACTAAGAAGAAGGGGACGCTGAAGCGGAGGAGGAGGATGAGGAGCAGGAAGAGGAGGAGCAGGATGATGAGGAGGCGGAAGAGGAGGAGCAGGACGTGGATGAGGAGGAGGAGGGGGATGCTGATGATGATGATCAGGAGCAGGAGGATGATGTTGGTGATGATGATGATGATGATGATGATGATGATGAGGAGGAGGAGGAGGAGGAGGAGGAGGAGGAGGAGGAATACTGAGAGGAGGAGTAGATGCAATAACATTGTGAACGGAGGGAGGGAAGAAAAGACAGAGAGTGAAGGAGAGCGAGGAACATACAGGTGCACAGGACCCGGGCCTGGAGAGGAGAGGGGGGAGCGAGAAAGGCCGCTGGGCTCAGCTCTTTCCCAGCCGCCCACGAGGGCCACAGTCTTGCCGTCGTCGTCGTCGTCGCCGTCGCCGTCGCCGTCGCCGTCGCCGTCGCCGTCGCCGTCGCCGTCGCCGTCGCCGTCGCCGTTGCCGTCGCCGTCGTTGTCGCCATCGCCGTCGCCGTCGCCGTCGCCGTTGTCGTCGTCGTCGTCGTCGTCGTCGTCGTCGTCATCGTTGTCGTCGTCATCGTCGTCGTTGTCGTCGCAGGCGACGTCGTCGTCGTCGTCGTCGTCGTTGTCGTCGTCGTCGTCGTCGTCGTCGTCGTCGTCGTCGTCGTCGTCGTCGTCCTCGTCTTACCTCTCTGCCGCCCCCTCGGCGCCCCTTCACGGCGGAGCAGCGCACGAGGCGTTGAAGGAGGCCAAATTCGAGACCCTCACCGAGATCCAGCACAAGGCGCCGGCTCTCGGAGATGGTCGGTGCTCGCTCTTGCCATCCCGTCCCCGTCCCCGCTCCTCGCCCCTCCTGCCTCCTCGCTCCCTGCTCCCTCTCTTCGTCCCCTCGCTTCTCCAGCCCGCCTCCTTCTACCCCCCTCTCGGCGGCGAAGCGAGGGGGGAAGTGAGAACGAGAAGGCCTTCTCATAATGCGGCGGGCCTTCTCAGAAACCCTCGCGCCTTCTGAGAAATTTTCGGTGTCTTCGGGGAAGCCAAGAAAACTTTTCAGAATGCCGGGGGACTTTCGAGCCTTCTGAGAAGGCCTTCCCCTTCTCACTTCCCGCCCAGGCTCGCCACTGATCCTCCTCCTCGCTCTGAATATTGTTGGCGTTCTGCGTATCACCAGCAGATGGCTTCCACCCCACATGCGAGTGACGGCTGGCCGCGACGCGCGCTGACGTTCACGACGTGTGTCAGCTGGCGGCGACCTTCGTCTAGCCTTCCGCTTGCTTCTTCTCTACGCGTATGGTGAGCACCTGCACGACGGCTGTGTTGGCTTTGCATCCTGGGTCTGACGCCCCAATTCACCCACCATGTTGGTGTGCATCGAGGCCCTCTTCCTGGTCCTCCTTGGCCTGGCGGACTTCCGGGGCTTCTCCGGCTCCGCCGCCTGAGCGACTGCGTAGCGCGCTCCGGTCGCTGTGGCTCCCGTTGTAGGACGTAATTTAGATCGTGGCGGTGTTGCTTCGCTTCTTGACGGCGCGCAGTTGCTCTGTATCGCTCGCGAACAAAAAAGTGCCCCCAGCAGCGTGCTGCACTCCGCCCGGAAGCTCTTCCAGGCGTGCGCCGTCCCGTGAGCGGCAGCGAGGCTCGCCTCCTGTGTGCCCCCTACCGCGTGGTCTTCGTCTTCCGTGTTCGTTCTCTTCCGTTTTTCGCCTCCCTCTCCTTGTTCGCTAACTTAGGCCGTTGCGTCTGCGCTTCGTACCTTTGCGCCGCCCGACCTTCTCGCGGTCGCGATCAAAAAAGTACCCCCAGCAGCCCAGCCAGCAACGATGTCCAGGCGAGCTGTCTTGATCAGGGAAGTGTGGGGGGGGGAGCGTGCAGTCGAACAAAACGGGCGGGCAGCCGTCAGACCAAATATCGGCATCTGTCTGAGCAGGCGGAGGAGTCAACCATACATGCCTTCGTGGATTTCTCGATATGGGAGCCTCCTTTGGGCACGGATATGGGAACCTCTTCCGACATTCCAATATTTCGATCTATTCAACATGGGCCATCTTGGGCCCTGGTTGGGGCTGTTTTTGATGCTATCCCAGCTATGTTGGGGACCTCGTGGGTCTCGCTTGGGGTTCTCTTGGAGGCCCTCTTGGGGCCATATTGGAGGATTTCCATGACAGAGACGGGGGCCTTACTCAGTTAGTTCAGCCCCTCTTGAGCCCCCAGAGTCGTCTTGTGGGGCCCTCTTGGAGCGTTCTTGCGCGCTCATTGGGCCGTCTTGGGGCCTTCTGGGGCCTTTTTTATTTTTTTGGGACATCTTGGAGCCGTCCTGAAACTCCGGAAGGCCATCGGAAACGAAAAGGCGAGATGGCACACAGCATAGATTTTCTTCAGTTTTTAAAAGGAGTGTGGCCTCTTGGGGGTCTCCTTGGGGAGTTTCGTGGCCACTTGGAGCCGCCTTGGAGCGGTCTTTGGGCTTCTTGGACGCATGCTGGTGGCATCTTGAGCAATTTACAGGTATCTCGAGCACTCTTGGAGGCCATGTCCGTCTCCCCGGAGGCCACCTTGGAGCCATGTTGGCCCAAACGCCTCCCAAGGATGCCCCCGAGATGCCACAATCTTCGAACATAAGTTTTTCAGTGATTTTGGCTTTGAACGAAGGGGGGACCCCTGATAACCGCGCCCTTTTGACGCCCCGGATATCGTCTCTTGGGGCTCTCTTGGGGCGCTACTGGGGCACTCTCGAGGCTCTCTTGAGCGGTCTTGGCGCCGTCGTGGGGCCGTCTCGGACCCATCGAGCCAATCGGAAGCGAAAAGGCGAGATGGCACACAGCATTTTTTTTTTTTTTTTTTTTTTTTTTTTTTTTTTTTTTTTTTTTTTTTTTTTTTGTTTTTTCAGTTTTGGCCTTTTGGGGGCGTCCTGGAGAGGGTTCGTGGCCACTTGGAGCCGCTTTGGGGCGGTCTTGGGGCATCTTGGACCATCGTGGGAACAATCTTGAGCCATGTTGGAGGCCATCTTCGGCTCTATGAGGTTCTCTGGGGCCCATCTTGGCCCAACTCGGACGCTTCGACGACCCGCTCCCCCCCCAGTCCAGACCCAGGGAGAGGTTTTGGGGAGAGGTAGTTTGGAAGAATAATAATAATGATAATGATAATAATAATAATACTAATAATATTAATAATACTAATCATATTAAGAGTAATAAGAAGAAGAATAATAATAATAATCACAATAATAGTACTACTAATAATATTAAACATAAGAAGAATAACAATAATAATAATAATAATAATAATAATAATAATAATAATAATAATAATAATAATAATAATAATAATAATAATAGTAATAATAATAATAATAATAATAATAATAATAATAATAATAATAATAATAAGAAACGCTCTAAACCACTACGCCTGGGCTGGTGATATTCCGTCTTTCCTTTCATCTCCTCGCTCCTGTCCCTCCCTCTTCCCTCTGCCCTCCTGCTTCCTCCCTCCTCGCTCTTCCTCATCGCTCCTCCCCGCTCCCTACCTGCTCCACCCTGCTCCTTCCGACCCCTTGCCTCCTCCCTCCTGCCTCCTGCCTCCTCACTCTCACCGCTTGCCTTCTTCCTCCTGTATGCCATCCTCCCTCTTGTCTGGCCTCCTCTCTGCTCCTTTTCCCCGTTTCCCTGCCCGTTCCCTCACCTGACGGCAGCAGTCGCAAGGACAGGGGCACCAGGAGGTCGTTGAGGGGAGGATCGGGAGGAAGTTTAGCAAGACAGGGATGAGGGAGGGATGAGGGACGAGGGAGGAGGAGGATGAGGAGGAGGAGGAGAAGGAGGAGGAGGGACGCTTTAGATATGATTATGATGACGACGGCGATGATGCCAGTGACGATGATGACGACGACGACGACGACGCTGCAGCCGCTGGCGACAACGACCAGGATCATGACACGGGTTTGAATGGGCCAGAGATCGACATGTGGCCACTTGTACTTTATCCGTTCTGTAACAACAGTTATCGTCAAGTGTCTCGCGGACCAATCCCATGCAGGCAGCCAGCACCGGCGCAATTCCGGCCGCTCCTCACACCATCGGCCGCTCTTCACACCAGTTCCAGTGTTCAATTGCCCTGGCGGTGGCGAGCCGTGGCTGGAGTGCCCGGCGTGCCCGCCGTGCGACCTGCACTGCGCGGCGCCGCAGTTCCCGCTGATCGTGAACGCTAGGACTGTAAATTGGTGGAGCCTGGTTGCGGGCGCTTCGAGCCTGCTCGACTTCGCCTACTCGAGTTGCTCTGTATGCTGCTCTTGTCGTCGTGCTGGCGCTCGTGGCGGCTGACGCGGCGGGCACGGCTTTGTGGAGCGGCCTCCTACCCGACAGGCTGTACATGGCTTGGTGGAGGACGACACGATGTACTACAAGCGGATGGCGCTGTGGCTGGCCATGATGAAAGGGTCTGGATGATACTGCCGCCCGACGGACACGCGTACGCTGAGAACGTGCGGGGATGCGCAGGTGGCCCTTCCCGTGCCAGCGGCCTCCGTGACGGGTGGTTGCCAGGCGGGTTCGTCGACGTGGTCTACCGCTTGAGGGAACAGCCAGGCACGGGGGAACTGAAACGCATCATCACCAAGGCGAAGGAAGAGGCCTTTGCGGAGGCCGGCGGCGCCGCCATGCCGATCGTGGACGGCAACATCTCGCCCAGTGGGCGTGAGAGGCCAACTGACGCGCTGAGTGACGTTGGGCCCGCCGGGGCTGGCGCTGACCGTGGGCCCGTGGTGGCCGACGTGCTTGCTGCGGCCGCGATGCCAGCGCCTCTTCTTGACGGCCTTGAGGTGGCCACCGCCACGATGCTGCTTCCCAGGGGCGGCACCGAGTGTGCCATGGTGGACCTATCCGTCGGTTCGGCGCGGCTCGGCGAGGTGGTCGCGCTAGGGGCCGGCGACCTGGCGCTCCCTGCGGGCGGCCCCTTTCAGGGGTTTGCAGCAGGGCGGGGTCGGGTGGGCGAAGGTGCCGCCGTCGGCCGCCGAGCGCGCGCAGTTGCGGTCCAAGGTCTGGGGCGACAGGTCGGGGGGGCCGCCGCCACTCCTTCCGCTTGCTGCTCCCCGGCGAGGTGGACGAGGCCGAGGTCGCCGCCGGCGCGGGCGCCTCTCGAGCTGAGGGTGGCCCGTGCGAGCCCGCCGCCCAGCTCAACGGGCCAGGCCGCGACAGTTTGGGGGTTGGTCAGGGCAGCGGCGACAAGGATTACGCGCGAACCGTGGTGGTCGACAACGACGCCCAGGGGGAGTGATTCAAGGCGTGGAGGAGGTAGTGGACGAGATGTCGAGGCGCTCGTTCGCGGACTGGCCCGTGGACGCGCTGCCCAGTGCCATCGTTCGCGGACTGGCCCTTGGTCGCGCCGCCGCTTGCCGTCCACTTCTGTGCCATGGGAGAGGATGGGCCGCGTCCTGTCTGGCTGGCATGACAAGTGGGCGCAGAACAAGAACATAGCGGTCGTGGATCGAGTCTAGTATGGGCTCAAGACCATCATATATGCGTTGGAGTATACTACGACCAGGTGGACCTCGGGTCCGTGGTTTTTGCCGAACTCCCTTGTCCGCCAGCGCAGGCGATCGTGGGCGCGTGCGAGGGCAATCTCAACAAGCCTAGCTTGGAGTGCGCGAAGTATTTTTCGGGGCAGAAGAGCTTGTCCGACGCGGTCTCGCCAGATTTGAAAAGCGTTGCCGCTCGCAAGGGCAAGGGGGGGGCCGAGGCTGAGAAACAGCGGCAGACGGCCCGATAGCTTCGAGGCGAAGCCGACGGCAAAGGAGATGTG